ATTTTGCATGAATTTTGGTGTGTGGTCATTAACATCCTCGATCTCCACACTCACGTGATAAAAGTTCAATGGATTTTCAGCAACAGCCTCAAATTCTAGAGCACAAGCCGGCTTCTTCCCGCATATCTGCTCCCGGTCTAGCCTGCTGCTAACAAGTAACTCCCCGCTCTCTGAGCTCACAGTGAAGTAAGGCTTCTCCGAACTGACCCGCAGTTTTCGAGTCGGTAACTCGTGGACACTGAGTCTCAGGTCCTTGGCGAGGTTCCCCACCACCGAGCCCTCTGGCATCTCCTCGGGAATCCTGTAGCGGATCTGCTCAGACAGCGCCAGGCAGAACAAAGACAGCAGGAACGGAAAGAGCACTGGCCGCCTCTCAGCCCAGCCCCTCTCCCCAGCTCCGCTCCCCATCCCTCTTGCTCCCCTCAGCTTGCTCACCGGCTTGGAGACGCCGGATTACAAACAATCTCTGTGCCGCAGTTGTCCGGAGCTCCGAACAGCTTTATTCCGGCGTGGGGGGTCAGGCAGGGTTTCTTCTTCTCCAGAGGAGGAAGCGGTGGAAAGGCTAGCGAGTCTGAGCTAGGAAAGTGCGCTGCGTCTGCGCGAGGAGGTCGCCAGCACCAAGCTCTCCACTTTGGCCAACAGCGGCGCCCAGAGTCCGCACTAGGAAACTGCAGCCCCCGCTGCTTAAGTTTAAACAGCTAAAATAATTATAACCGTGTGCCTAATTTAATATGCCATATTTTTATGTTAATATATTTAATACCTTAAATTATCAAGACTTCCTTAAGGTATCTTTTCTCTTGTTTCCAAATTATTAGAAATATCATGTTGGGCCTGTATACAAACTTACATATATTGGTCCATTTATTTCACCATTCTACAAACATACATTGAACTTTTGCTTTGTGCTAAGTACTGTCCTTGTCAGTGGCCATATAACAAAGAATAAGACACAGGTCTTGCCCTCAGAAAGTTTATTGTCTGCTAATTTCACGAATCGTTTCTGTTTATTAGCTATGATATATAAAAAAATTTTAAGCTTCTTTCACTGATTCCTATGTTTATCCCCAACATTTCTACATACTCAATGCTATTTCATATCACATATATTAGAGAAATCAATACTGTTGAAAACTATTTTGTAAAATTGTGTAATTTTGTACCAATCCTCAAACATCTCCTTCTGATCATCTCAACACTCTCTTTACAAAATAATTTCTTTTTACTCTTCTATCTCAAGAAGTATTCATTAAAAAAAACCGTCCCTATGATGTAGCCAGGATATTATTAACTGTACCTCCTACTTCATATCTCAAAATTAACTGGCTTATGTCATACCCAATATCACATATAAATTCATCCTTAAAATGTATTGAAATGTTAGTCTATCCTTCAATACAAAGTCACAAAGGGATATTCTAATAGAATGCATTAGCTCCTTATCTATGTACTTCTGTTATGCTAAAGTAATGGCTTCAGAATTGGAGGAATTGAGCTCCTGGTAAATGTATTTACATAAATTCACTGAATGTAGTGACACCTGTTCTAATTATTTTACTCCATTTGTTTAAAAACATTTTGCAATTAGTGAATGCTTTGAGCAAGAGTATTGGGGCATCTTTCCACACACTTTTTAAATTTGCAAAGTGTCAACAAAATAGTTGTCTCCTCAAGTGACTGTACACCCAGACACTACAGAAAATATGAAGTTAACTCCTACCCATTGTACACGCAAAATTGGAAGGAACACAGCACAATCCCTGGGAAATGTCCTTTTAATTACTAACGAATAATTCATTGTGATTTCCACTCTCATCTGATGACAAATCAGAGGTTAGTTTTATTTAAATGCTATAACAAGGGATACGGAAGTCATATAGTCCAGACGGAATCATTTTTAATTGAATTTTAATCATTTTTAATTGAATCATTTTTGATTGGTTTGTTTAGAATTTGTGTACATGTAACTTCTGTTCTTAAAACCAACACTCTCGAACTCGAACCATGAGAACACAGCACATTTCACATGGCTGTACAATCAAAACAGCTCATTGGAATTCTAATGAAACGCGTTCTTCTGTATTTTACAAAAGTCATTTTCAACAATTTAAAATGACATGTTATTGCAAATTTGATGGGGGCAGGGGGCAATGACCATTTTAGGCTTCAGATTCTATGTCTCCATTGGTATGAGTCCTGGGTGACCACTGACACACAAAAACAGTGGTGTGTGTGTTAGGGACCAGTCTCATCTACCACCACCCTTTAAAATATGTTTGTTTTGAAATATAAGAAGTATTAAAGCTTTGAATGGTAGTGATCCAGATGCGGGGCTCAGAAAAGAGGTTTAAAGTGAAGAAAATTTCAAGAGCCTAGTTTTAGTTTTAGCGAAGAATTCTTAGGATTCTTTGCAAACCTAAGAATCCTAAAAATTCTGAGATGTATTTTACTTTTACTAAGCTAATACAAGGGTTTAGAAGCCTCAATAATGTTTTGTAAGTTTTAACTTATATGTATACATATATATGTGTGTATATACACACACACACATATATTCCTATATATAAAACGAACTGACCATATGTGATTGGGTAACTATTTCTTAAGTGAATAAGTGATAATTGTGGTAAAATATGGAAGGCTTTAAGAGGTCAAGAGTTCATATTTAAACAATCTTGTCTAAGCCTTTGGAAAGCAGATAAAACAATTATGTTGATTAGAACTCAATTTTATGGTATCACTAACACAAACCCAGAACTTTGTGGTACACCTCAAAAATTATTTTTAAACTTTCTTCACAATGCATGTTTCAAAACACAACTTAAATGTATAAAAAATATAATTCCTCTAAGAAATAAACGTAAACAAAGAACTGAACTCACCTGAACAGAAGCAGCTTCATCCCTACATTCATGAAAATCTCTGGATGTTAACAAGGAATCCTTTTTCTCACAGCTCTCCTGACTGATGAGCGTGTCCGCATAGTTGGGATGCGGGAAGATCACGTGACTCCCCCGCGAATCAGAGGTAAGGGAGACCTCATGGGAATAGGTCTTCAGGAAAGCCTGTACTCCCTCCATGCCCACAAAGCCTGAGGCTGGCAGGCCTGCCAACCCGACGCCCGAAGCCTGGAGAAGACTCGACTTGTGCCACCGCCACAGTCTGAGAGCCAGCAGCACAATGACAAAGGCGAGGAAGATGCAGGAAACAACGGCCACTGCCACCACCAAGTACAGTGTGAGGTCTGAATCATCAGAGCTGGTGGGGGTCCTGATACTACCCAGGTCGGCAAGGACTTCTGGGATGCTGCTGGCCACTGCCACGGTGAGTGTGACGGTGGCAGAGAGAGGGGGCTGGCCATGGTCCTGGACCGCCACCACCAGGCTCTGCTTGAGCGCGTCTCTGTCCAGCAGGGCCCTCGCTGTGCGCACCTCACCCGTGTGCAGCCCCACCGTGAAGAGACCTGGATCGCTGGCCTTGAGCAGGCGGTAGGACAGCCAGGCGTTCTGGCCTGAGTCTCTGTCCACAGCCACCACCTTGGTCACCAGGTAGCCAGGCTCTGCAGAGCGGGGTGCCAGCTCTACACCCGTGGAACCGTCGGTGGGAAGCATGGGGTACAGGATCTCTGGCACATTGTCGTTCTGGTCCAGGATGAACAGGCTCAGTGACACATTGCTGCTGAGTGGAGGGTCCCCACTGTCACTGGCTGTCACCAGTAGCTGCAAGTCTTGGATCTGCTCATAGTCAAAGGAGCGCAGCGCATATAGGACGCCAGTGTCAGAGTTGATGGAGACATAAGACGAGAGAGGCGTCGCCATGATGGTGTCTTTGGTCAGAGAGTAAGTGACCTGGGCATTGTTGCCACTGTCAGGGTCATGGGCCGTCACAGAGAAGATGGAGGCGCCTCTGGGGTTGTTCTCCGGGATATCGGCTGAGTAGGAGGCATGAGGGAAAATGGGTGGATTGTCGTTGGTGTCTGCCACGTGCACGGCAATATGAATTTCAGTAGATAGAGGTGGGGTTCCTAGATCTGAGGCCATCACTGTTATATTATACATAGAGATCTTTTCTCGGTCCAAATATTCCCATATCACCAATCTATAATAATTATCTATTGATTTTTCTAATTGAAAAGGTAAGTTATCACGTGTGTAACAGACAACTTGACCATTCTTCCCAGAGTCTCGGTCATGCACATTCAAGAAGGCAATTACTGTCCCAGGAAGAGTATTTTCCAAGACTGGGCTAAACAAAGATGTAATGGTCACTTCGGGTCTGTTATCGTTGACATCTTCCACTGAAATGAGCACTTTGGTCCGTCCCAGAAGTGC